GATTTGAAAGCTTGAGATACGAGTAATTCAACTGTTCTTTTATCTGTTACTAGCTGGCTTACCCGAATTCGCCCGGCTCTGTCGAAACACTGCGATAAAGCTCCCATCCTTATTCCTGTACAGCCTTTCCTTACGCCCACTTTTATATATTAGGTTGGAAACTAAGTTTTGCAACTCATCCGCTAACTTTCCTCTCACTCATCGTGGCGCACTCAAATTTTGCCACTGTGTTGGCTTTGATGTAAGCTATAGGCGGAGCTAATTTCCTACCAAGTTCTGACGTCGCAGCGAGGGTTACGGTAGGTATATAAATTAGAGGGAAGAATTATAAAATTCGACAGATTTGGCTGAAACTTAGCATAATGGGGTTATCCGACATGTTGATTACGAAAACGATACTGAAGTTGCGTGTTAAGAGCTTTTTGTAAGATTACTGTAGGTATACAATATAGGGTCCTATCCTAGATAAGGAAAGAGGCATTGATTGAACAAATGATTATGATATTCGTGTTTAGCAGGTCAAAGAACCTCAATATGTAAAGGCTAGTGGAATTTTGTGGTTCTGACTCCTTATTCATTGACGGTTGTCTTCAGCAGCCTTGCGTACAGAAACTCTTTCGAAATTGTGAGGGCGCCAAATCTCTACTTGCCCCTAAATTTTATTTTTTTTGAGCCGAATAAGTCAACCTCTAGCAACAATTAATACACGCTTCCGGATAATTGCACATGGTCTAGACTGATTACAACTTCATTTTGCCTCGAAACTCCAAAATTGTCAAAATTTACTAGTTTTCGAAAATGCTTGGAATTTTTCTAATTTGTTTCAAAGTTTAAACGGTTTGTAAGGGTTTGTAGCTTACATTACGCACTACATACTGCCAAAGTTTCAGTGCGCCACATCCAAAGAGAATTGAGTTATGGAAGTAGCTGCAAAACTTAATTTCCGGCCTAACACCAACTCCAACTCCCTATTCCCGCGGTGTTAGTTATCAGCATGCGCACTTACTTGCGCGAATTCCCAGCCCCGCAGCTCAAAATTTGCAAAAACTCGATAAAATCGATAAAACTGATGGATAATTTCAAAAACTAATATTGTATTCTTAATCAGCATGCTCTACCCCCCCCCCCCCTCCCTGTGCTATCTCTCAGCCCCGCAGTTCAAACTTTACAGAAAATCGACAAAAATCGATAAAATCGGTATCGATCGATAACGAAAAGTAACCTGTGACACCCGTTGGTGACGAGGAAAACCAAAGACGAGACACAGTAATGCGTTGACAATGTTGATCTTTATACATATACGTACAATCAAATACAGATATACTTACAGACAGACATTCAGCTTTATACAGGGTGCCCGTAAAGTATGTATACACTGTTTGATCGTTAATATCTTTCTTCCAAACAAGTCTTTCGCCTTGCTTCAGGAACAGTTTTGTAGAGCTGGCTTCAACTTAGAATTGCAATATGGAGCGAACAACCCATCTCTCTTCATTACTGTGGGATTACGGTAGAAACTTCAAAGAGGGTTTTGAGCCATGAAAGGGTATATTCTGCCTCACAAAGGAAACAAAACAGCCTGAAAGCTTTTGCACTGGGCTAATTAGAGTTGTTGATTCTATGTAATGTTCCCAACTTATTATGATGCTTCATTGAAGAGTTATGCCGGGTAAGAGGTAGCGGCCATTTCTTCAATGTTCCTGAAAAGTGCGGTTACACCGTTTAAAAAGCTTCGCAATCTTGTGACTAGTTGAGTATTGAACTTAACGTCCATAAAAACCCTATTACACAAGTTTTCACATTTTTTTTGAAAAATTTTGAAACGGCAGCTTTTTCCATATTGACACCATATGTTTCAAGTTTCTACCGTAATCCTACAGTAATGAATTGAGATGGGTGATTCGCTCCATACTGTAAATCTGAGTTGAAGCCAGCTCTACAAAACGGTACCTGCAAGGCAAGAGACTTGTTGGGAAGAGAGATATTAACGATCAAACAGGGTATACATATTCTACGCACACTCTATATATAAGATTATTCTCTCTAGTGAAAGGAGATATGGTAAGATTCTTGTCCCAGATTTTTAGCTCCTGCTCAACTCTTTCTTGCGACAGTGTTAATTCATTGATACAATGTTAATTATTCAAAAAATCAGATACCCTTTCAATTTCGGGTTATGTTTCGTTATCAACGTTACTTTTAGTGCGCATAAGGTCTCATGCATGCGTTTTTCAACAAAACGCTGCTGCTTCGGTACTCTCTTGCAGTAATGATGTTTGAGGAGGAGAGCAACTGACGTTTCCTTTTCAAACAAAAAGTGTCGTTATAACAGCTGGTTGATTCTGCCGTTATGCCTTGACTTTAGTCTCAACCTCAAGTGAACGCATTCAGCAGTCAGCCAGATGCCGGCTCTAAGGTGAAGGGATCAGAGAAATTCCTTCACCTATCGCATCCATGAACGGGCGGTGATTTTAATTTACTACGATTATCTTAACACTTCTCAGTCACATCGGGAATACAGCAGCTTAAGGAGGAAGAAATTCTGCATTAAATACAGCTTGAAGTAAGAATTTACGTTTACCGTGCGAGATTTGCGAGTCATTTTCAATTTGGCAAAACTTCGACCTAAATTAGGTTGGCATATAAGTAATGCAACGTAATGCAACTTTTTGAATTACTTTTGTCTATTTGAACGTAACACTTTCAGTTTTTGCAGTATAAGAAATTATGATGTAATTTTCAAGTGCAGACATTTTTTTGCATAATTTTGCGATCCTTTGTAAGGGTTACGGAAGGTATACTGCACAATTTGAAAATCTTTCGAAACTGATACATACTGCCTAAATTTTCTTTCTGTTATTTTTGATTCAGGTTTTGTACGACTTAATGTTTATAAAAAAAACCGTGAGACCTCGATTTTCAAGGGTTTTCAAAAATGTTTGAATTCTTTCTACCACATTATCGAAAATCAAACAAGTTGCGGATGCTTGCAGCTTGCATTACACCCTACACGATGCCAGAGAATAAGACTGCTACCATAGAATAGAAAAGTTATGGTAATATTAGGTTGTCCCAAAAGTTTTGTCCGCTATTTCAAAGCACTAAAAAACCACGCACAATAAAGAGCTGAATGAGTTTCAACATGCGTTCAATGCAGCTTTTCCTTCTCTTTCTCATGGATACATTTTCAAACCACAATCTTCTATGCCTTTTTTGATAATTGTCACAATTCTTCACAGGTCATATTTATCTGCTCAAAACTAGGCTAATTTTCTAAAATTTCATTCCAAAGTTTTTGGAAAAGTTTGAATATGTATCAGAGAGAGCAGTTCTCGAACTATAAGGTCATAACTAGTTAGACCTAATCTGCTGTTTAGCTTCAAAAAATTATTTCTTCAAAGGTTTCAATTTTTGGCAAAGTCATGAAAAACGCAACTGCAATAAATACACGGAAGCTTTCGAAATTCCTGCGAATTAAAACGTGATTCTTATTAAGCATTGTTTATGCAACATGTCCAAGTTTGATTTGCTTTGAGAAAGCAGCTTTTTGAAATTTTTGGCAGTTTCACATAGCAAACATAACCGGAAAGCTGGGTTTTTATCGAATAAATTATTAACGAATTGGTGAACGTGTCCCATATAATCTGAAATCTGATACAATATAATCAAAGGTTTGCTCTACATAAAAGTTACCAGCGTCCTTTGAAAATATCAGGATAAAAAATTTTTAAATTCAGGGAAGGTTTGGCGTTACTGCAGAGCTGCTCAAAAAGTCATGGCATTAACATGCAAAGACAGTTTAGATCAGAGAGCAAGTGCAGATGAAAGAAAAAAGATGAAAATCTATACCAAGTGGATCCGGGTCGTCCATGGATTCGTGTTCTGTAAGCTTGAGTGAGCGATGAGAAAAACTGGGAAAACTTTCGGGAGAACCTAGTATTAGGTTGTAACAAATTTAATGCAGGTTTTGAATTCCGACTGCAATAAGTCATACACTTCTCATTTCTGAGTAGGTTGCAAAAGGCCATTCGATAGAGCAAAGCAAGTTCTACAAGATGACTATCTCGCTTTAGCAACAGCTCTAATCCTCCACGAATTTCGAGCCAAAAACTAAAAAGATTCAATTGTTCGAAAAATTGAGAAAATCTTAACTCTCAGTTCATAAAAAACCTACGAAAATTCTAACTTGCTCACGTAAACCCAATCCACATGAGGCATCTATGCACGCCGTTGCCGTATTTTTTCTCTGTTAGAAATCAAGTAAAAGGCAATTTCCTGTGCGCTTACCAAAGTGTTGCTGTGCCGTTTCCACATAATAGTTGTATACTACAAATCTGTAGAAGTGCAAACTAAATTTTCAGCTCTCTACAAGCTCTAGTTCTCGAGAAATTTGAATTTTAGCTTGGACACCACATAATTAGCGAAAACTGTATCCGATATTTTTTGGAAACTAAATCTTGTAGAGAGTTCGAAATTCACGTTTATACTTCTGCGGGTTTGTAGTTTACAACTACTTATGTAGGAACGGCACAGCATCATTTTGGCAAACGCACGAAAATTTCCGTTTTCTTGATTTCTAACAGAGAAAAAAGTACGACAAAGGCGTTTATAGATGTCTTATGTGAATAGTGTTTACGTGAGCAAGTTAGAACTTTTGTAGGTTTTTTATGAGCTGAGTTACGATTTTTCTCAATTTTTCGGACAATTGAATCTTTTTAGTTTTTGGCTCGAAACTCGTGGTGGATCAGAGTTGTTGCTAAAGCAAGATTGCCACCTTGTAGAGATTGCTTTGCTCTATCGAGTGGTGTTTTGCAACCTACTTAAAAATGAGAAGTGTATGACTTATTGCGGTTGGAATTCAAACCCTGCATTAATTCTGTTACAACCTAATACATTGCTTTATTCAGGATTTATTGCTGCAAGAATTTTTGCACTTGGAAACCGTTCACAATGTCGGTTAACCTTTTATTCAAAAATCATCCAAGCTATAATGCTGCAGATTATTTCTTGCAGACATAATATCTCATAGGTCTTTCGCATGAAATACTGTTCCAGTGATAGTCCTGAACATATACTAATCTCGCTGGGCCTTGATGAAACTGAAATTTGCTCGTATCACGAAACCTAGATTATAAAAAAATAGATTATGCATTACACCTGCGCGCATTTTTCCGTTTTTGGCTTGTCTGGCTGATGTACCGCCCACTTGTTGTAATTGAATGCGCTCCCGTCCGTCCATTCCCACTTGTTTCTCGAATTTTGGTGAAGACCAATGTAGACAAAATCAAAAAAAGATCTGATGCGAGAGCCGTCGGCAGTGATTTCTGTAAAAGTTTTGCATGTGTTCTTGATAGCATATGTTGCACTAAAGACAGCTTGCTGTGAATGAAGTTGTTTTCTGCTTCGCTGTGTATAGAAACCAAGTGAGCGTGATGCTTTCGGCAAGATCTCTCTGCATCGTTGAAGGATTTTGCATTTCTTTTCACCTATGGGTTGGGATTCACTCATGAAGTGGAATTACGTAGACGTTTCGACTTACTTACCATATAATGCCTTCTTTCGAACACCAACCAAACATCGAATGTCAAAGAGCCAGTACCGACTTCAACGTCTACTTTGGAACTATGAGAAATAGTAATGTCGCCAGATATTCGACTACGCTCGTGTGATTTAGATTTGACTTTGTGTTGTCTCACTCTGCTGTGTTTTCCCCTTGATTTGTTGACACGTCTCCTTACGGTTGTTCTGCGCTGAGAGAAACGTCTGCGACTCGTTCCTACTCCTCGCCCATAGTCGACCTCAGCATCCACGTCCACTGGTCTAACTCGATATTTCACAGGTTTCTCTTGGATGCGAATTATATTTGGTCTTAGTTGTATGGTCGGAGGCGTTACATATCTGATCTCGGGTTCCACATTTATGATTTGAGGTTCTGCGATTTCGTATCTAATTCTCGGTGGTGCCAGGACTTTGATCACAGGTGCAGGGATCTCGACAGTCTGGACTTTCAACTCTAAAGGTATAACAGGTTCTTTCTCTTCTCCCACCTTCAATTGCCCTGCGTTAACAAATGAGAGGATTGCCAGTATGTACAGCATTCCTAAAATGAGATGATTGTTAATACATTCACTTAACATTTTACGATTACGATTCTCTTCGTTTATTTGAAATGCCTAATGACGAAGCGCTAGTGATAAACAACCATTGGATATTGTTTCACACATAAAAGGTTTTATTTTGCTGCTCTGCTTTCTTCAGCTATGGTTTTTGACGCGGGCAGATTGAGAACACGCCATAAAGTTCCAATATGCCAAAGCAAATCTTGGTCAGAACAGGTAGAAAATAACTCAACAGAGGATGACCTATTGATGATGGGAATCTTATGCACGTTAAGGTTGTGACGATTTATTTATTAGGAAATTAATCTATAATACAAATTATCCTTTCAAAGAAAACTAATGGTCCTTATCAAAAAAAATTTTTTTTTGATCTGCTTGAATATGTTTTGAAAAAATAATAGCATTGAAATGTAGATACGAACGCATAGAGAAGAAACCTATGAGCAAACAAAGAAGCATTGTGATCTAATAAACATCACAAAGATTATTTTTCACCATTCATTAGATACGCGATGAAACCAGGACATGTAAAAAGAAAATTCTCGACGCTGCTTGGATAACTGGAGCTCGCATATATGTATTTGATTGTACGTATATGTATAAAGATCAACATTGTCAACGCATTACTGTGTCTCGTCTTTGGTTTTCCTCGTCACCAAGCCATTGTACTAAAATGAAAAACGTATGAGTAGAGTAAACAGATTGCAACAAAATAAATACTTGAGTGCCCAGCTAGCTTCTACGATTTTCTCAAGACAACTTTCTCAAAATTCTTCACTTTTTGCGAAACAGTGTCATACACGAGAACATCAAGCACGAAAAAATTTTAAGGATTTTAAGAATAGGTTATTATTAAGCACAATTTTTACAAGGCAAATAAGCTTTTGCAGCTTCGTAATATCGAATTTTGGAATTTCGGATACAGCTCTTTGGAGCAGTCTAAATTAGAGATTATGATAATTTGATCCGCGAAGATTTTGGAAAATTTCGAAATAGAAAGAAGTTCTAAGAAAGAAAAGGAAAATCTGCATTGGATAATGCTGAGTTGCTTACATTCTGGCACTTTACTTGATATATTAGATTGGTGCAAAAATTGTCAATTTTTTTAATCCATCAGCATATATGGTAGAATGAGTAATAAATTTTTAAAGGCAGTGGCTCGGGAAATGCGACTGGGGGATTTCCACAACTTCAGGGCCTTCTGGAACAGCTGAGTCAGGTACTGTGCTTGAAATGTCAAAAGATTGTCATTTTGGAGCTTACCGGCTTTGCAGATTGCTGAAGAGGCGGGGCGAGGGATTCCCGCCATAACCAGCAAGTGACTGCAGGATACTGTAACTTCGCCTGTTTTGGGGCAATTGGCTGATCGGCCCAGGCAATCAATACGATACAGTTGACGGTAATCCCTCGCCCCGCCTCTCCAGCAAACTCCAACGTCGGGAAACGCCAAAAAGCCCTTTTTTGACTATTCATGCACAGTACTTGACTCAGCTGGTCCAGAAAGCCTTGTGGTTGTGGAAACCCCCCATTCGCAATTTTCCCGAGCTGCCTTCAAACTGTGTCCGATGCAGAAATTCATCCTCTTCAGCTGCTGGACTTTCAGTGTGGTTTGTTGAGATTGCTGAGATAACCGCTAGAATAACCCTTCGTTTTCAGCCCGTCCAACCTTTGCTAAATTTCAAAATTTTTGTACGAAATCTTTGAGGGAGCTTCTATAGCCAGCAGGTATGGCAAACATTTTGTCAACTGGAGCAATTTTTTTCTTTTTCAACTACTCTTTCAAAATTTTGCTAAAAAATATTCCAAAAGTCTTGAGTTTTGGAAAAGATGCATAACTTGCCTGCACCAAACACTGGAAAATCTGCAGTACCGGAATTCCAAAACTTTATCATCACTGTTACTAATTAAAAAGTAAATGAACGACTTTTGCTTCAAAAGAAAAAATTTTGAAACCTAATGTACGTCAGTGCGCACTCGTGAAATCGAGAAATACTGCGTTTTCCGCAGATTTCGCGTGTCTCATCAAAAAAAAGACAACTGTTAGAAAAAGGAGAATACGTTATTTTGTTCTACGAGTTTTGAATAGGTCAAATATAAGATATGGTTACTTTAAAAATGAATTTTAAAAATTCTACGAGACAATTCGCAGCTACGAAAACCTGCTTCAGCTTGCAAAAGGTTTGCCCTATCTGAATGCTTTCTCAAAAGTTCTAGATAAAAATGTTCCCAATAACGGTTCCCAGTAACTAAAAACCCAGAAAGTGAGTTGCAGACTTTAAAAAAATTCTATAAAATTGTGCTTTGTTTACTCTGTCTAAAAAGTAAGCAGTGAATTTAGAAAATGCCAAACTTGGACATGGATGAAAACTCATAAGCTCAAACTTTGGCCGGTTATCACAATGACCACGAAAATGACCAGACAAAAAACATACCGTTGGAAAGAAGGTAAAAAGTTGCGTTGATCGGTGTCTGAAGCGTTTGCCTGTTTTTATTCCTCGCTTTCTAATGGATGAATTATAATCGGAAGGAATTTTCGGAAAAATTTATTATATAATTATATGAACAGGCTAATTGCATCTAGTCTGTTCTATTCCGATATTAGTATTAGCATTTGATGTGTTCAGAGATTGAAGGTTGATGCACAATCAATGCAAGCCTTTTTAGCTCTTTTTCTAGGCGCTGATATTCCAAAGAGAGCGCTAATCTCTTTAATGAAAACTTTTTATGAGATTCAAAGAAATGTTTCCTCACTTATTTGCAAAAGCTTTTTTTTCGTAAATTTTTGTTATTATTCAGCCCGATCCCGAATGACATTTTGAACCGAAGACAACAAATCTTGACCAAAAGCGTTTTTTTTTCTTCAAGGTGTAAAAATTCTAATCAGGGAGTAATTGCAAAGCTTCTGCACTGTAAAGAAGTGGATTTGGGCATTTAGAAATAGGAAAGATTAATAGGGTCTCGAAGTAAGTGGTTCCGAGTTAGCATCTTTTCTCAAAAATCCTTGAAATAGAGACTCACGTCGCTGCTCAACACCATCAGTTTGCCATATCTCACTACAAATAGGATGAGTTATAATTCCTCAAAGAAGATTTCAAAAATTCTTTTTGACACTCATAAATAAAAAATATCAAAAGTAAGCATTTTGCCTTAAAATGGATTCTCAACGAGCCAAAAACTTTATCATTAAGCTTAACTAAGTCGCTGATTATGAATTTGCAAGTTGCACTCCCTTTATTCTTAATTTGTGTCAGGTAATCCGCAGCAAAGTTCTTTTTCATATGTTTCAAAAATGTGATTAAAACCATTTGAAATGCTTGAAAAACTTGTAAAAAGATGATTATTAAAATCAGCTTGTCTAAAAACATCTCTGCACAACTTTTTAGAATTCTTGGAATTTTTTTCCGTAACGGCTTATCTCATAATATCTCATAATCGGACCGAATAGATATTTATATAGCAAAAAGGATGTTGTTTGTAATATTCCTTTACTTACTATCGTGAATCAAACTTGAACTTAAGAAAGCGTGAACCAAATCACGAACAAAACTATTAGATGCAGTCCTAAACGCCGGTTTGATTGAATCACTGTTTGCTGGAAATTTTGTTGTTTAAGCGTTGGAATGTTTCAAAAATTCTACCCGTTTTTGTACCTCTTTTCGACTTGCTTGTTTGAAGGGAAAATTATAGTTTTGTGAGAGTTATCGCAGCATTTTAAAGCTCTTTGTTTCTAGTTGTTTCATGTAAGCTCATTTTTCCATGGAGCTGTGTTCAATATGTGATTCCGGAACTTGAAAAACAGTAAAGCATAAGCGAAATTTTTTTTTAACGATCTCTACAAGCGGATTCAAATGAGAGTTTGGCGTATGTAGGCTAGAAATTGTTTTTTTTTGTGCTTTAATAATTTTACAAGTTACGCTTAAATCTAATAAGGACGTGCTGATTGTAACACCATTTGTGCAACTTTATTTTACTCATACACTCAAAGGGCTCCATAAAAAATGAAATTACGAACGTAATATGACACATTATGTAAAAGTTACGTTCACAGCATAACTTTGAAAAGAGTGAATCGAAGTTGAAGCCAGAAAACGGGTAATACTTTTGAAACAATTCAGAAATAGTCTATAATAATACAGAGGACTATATAACTGAAACAACACAAAGAAGAAACTATGAGACTCTTATTTGTTGAACCAGAAACTTGCGTCAAATATGCGAAATACAAGAACCCTTCAAATGTGAGAATATTTGGTATTCCCATCAAAATTTATACCGCCGTAATCAAACTTTATGACTACACTTTATTGGTACGTGATAGCTGCACGAATTGCTTATTTTTATAAGAATTCACAGTCATTTCACATTCTGGCATAACAAGGTATCGTGGTAGACACAGTAAATCGTGTGTATATATCTTTTGTACACTTCATAAACGATTGTAACTTTCTCGTGTACACACGATTTTGCTGAAAAATATGAAGCAATGAAATTTTTATTATGTTTGATGACTCAAAAATATCTTATATAGGCAGTGTCGGACTATAAGTCGATAAAAGTTCGTAAAGGTTTTAGACCTTTACGCAAATTCCGAAGGATAAAAATACACAAGCGCTTTCAATTGTAACCAACGCAAAATATCGTCTTTTTTTACCAGCTATGTTTTACTAGTGAAACATGCGATAAACGTTCGGATAAGGATAAATCCCGCACAGAGAGGTTTGAACGCCAGCTGCATTAAGGCTCTATTGACATCAATATCGTTTCCGGGCCTCCACCCCACCCTCCTTTTCGTTTGTTATTATACTTCTCTTGTATGTATCTCTACTCATTCTACAACCTAATCTCTCTTTGTTAGTGAAGGAGGTTTAAGTCAATGAAAGTAGCAAGCAAAAGCTAACGCTTTCTTTTGCTTCTTCATATGTATACTACCTATCTATATAAGCCCTTCAAACTAGCTGTTTGCTGTGATATTTTCATGTAGTGCTTCAGTACTATCTGTTCAGTAGAGGCTTAGTAAGCAAGTTCTGTCTGCGTATAGGTATGCCAGTTTCTTAAGTTGGTTTTATGGTTTCGGATAAGGTCACTGGTAGAAAACTCTCAAAGTTTTCTACTACGACTGCATAATGACTTAAATTTCGTTACAGAGTGGCGGAAATGGAAATTCCATTTCTGGACCGAACAGCGTCAAACATTGCACTCTACACTTCGGAGACGGGCGTGTTTCATGTGTTGCTTTCCACAGTCGATCGATATCGCGGAGTTTAGGAAAACTTTGCGTTACGGGCTGAAAGCGGCACAGAAGGTAAGTTTGCATGCTGATTGCGAGTGCAATACTGATTCAATTTTATCATTGGCTTTATCGGTCTCACTAGCTGGCTTACCCGGCTCCGCCCGGCATCACATACACTTTGGTCAAAAAAAGTCGAAGTTGTATTCCTCAAAAAGAGGAATACATCTTCGGCTCTTTAGTTGTACCGTTTCGTTCCTAGCCTTAGAAGGTTTGGCTGAACACGTTTTCATATGAAATTTCTGCTATGTAAAGAAGAAGGTTAAGCACGCAGCTATTTGATCTGTTTGAAGGTAAAGGTAAGATAATGTTTGAAGGTAGTTAATGGAGTGTGGCACCACCCCTAAAAAGCTGTGGCAGCCACAGCTTTTTAGGGGTGGTGCCACACTCCATTAACTATATCAAATGAAAAAACATTTTTAGCGAACTATTTACTTAAATCGATAGCCTAGATGAAGATTTCATAGAAGTGATTTGAGCCTGTTTCGTCTTCTTAGCTCTGAGTAATATTTGGTGAAAGCACAGCCATTACAAGCGAAAAATGGGAAAAATGAGATTTTTGTTGGTTTTTCCACAGTCTGGAGGTCTTTTGCTCAGTGGCATTGGGCGATGAAAACTTGCTCCCGCATAAATTTTCGAGCAAAGCGGTTTTTGATCAGGCTAGGCAAATTTGAAAAGTATGTCTGCGCAAAGGGTAATTGCATCGGTAAGATGCATTCCATTTGATCAAAAGAAGGATTTTACCTTACAGTTTCGTTTACAATTCTGTCGAGTGCGAAGAGCAAAAAGGAGATAATGTCCTCCTCAAATATGCTCATCCTACGCTCCAGCAGAGATGCAGCTGTGCAGTCGCAAGGATTCGTGGCACATTGGAGGACCGGTAAGTAGATGCAGTTGCAAGAGTTTTTGATTTCATTTTGTTTGCTTTGCAAGGAACTCTTTGAATAGTATTATCACCAATCGTCTTAAATGATTCTTCCTTGATTTCTCTAAGGCCCTGATCAGACTTCGTTCAAAAGCGCCCAAAAGCGCCCAAACTTCTCTAATCTCTCTTCACATTCTTGTGTGAGGAGAGATGAGAGAAAGTGAGGAGAGGTTAGAGAAGTTTGGGCGCTTTTGGGCGCTTTTGAGCGCTTTTGAGCGAAGTCTGGCCAGGGCCTGAGAGAAATCAAGAAACAATCATTTCAAAGGATTGATGATATTGCTATACAAAGAGTTCCTTGCAAAGCAAACAAAATGAAATCAAAAACTCTTGCAGCTGCATCTACTTACCGGTCCTCCAATGCGCTACGAATCCTTGCGACTGCACAGCTGCATCGCTGCTGGAGCGTATGATGATCACATTTGAAGAGGACATCATCTCCTTTTTGCTTTTCGAACCCGACAGAGTGGTAAGCACTAAAGCATTTATTATTTAGAAGTTTGGGCGCTTTTGGGCGCCTTTGAGCGAAGTGTGGCCAGGGCTTTAGAGAAATCAAGAAACAATCATTTCAAAGGATTGATGATATTGCTATTCAAAGAATTCCTTGCAAAGCAAACAAAATGAAATCAAAAACTCTTGCAGCTGCATCTACTTACCGGTCCTCCAATGTGCTACGAATCCTTGCGACTGCACAGCTGCATCGCTGCTGGAGTGTACGATGATCGCATTTGAAGAGAACATCATCTCCTTCTTGCTTTCTTTGGTTTTCTTCATGTTTGCAGAAAAGTTCCAAGTTTTGAATAGGAACTAATCAAAATCCCCCTATCTTCAAGCCCAACGACCGGAAAGGTCTTCCAACCAACGCCCTGATGGTAAGGTGGCCAATCAGAGCCCGCCGCCGCCCCTTGGCCCCGCCCCCAGGGTATATAAGGCGGTAGGCTCTGAGGTCGCCTCATTTGTGTTGCGATCATGGAGGCTGTGCGGATCAGAATCTTGGGTCTGTTCAAACGTATCAACACGATTGATGGTGAATATCTGGTAATTGACGACGATAAAATCTGCAAAACCTTACGAGAGGCCCGCCCAGAAAGACCACGAGGAGCAAGCGGTAGACAGCAGCACTTGGAAGAGACTGATATGCCTCCGGCTAAGAAGAGGTGAGTTTGATAAAAATGGATGCATTGACTAAACTTTAAGTTGCAGATGTTCACCCAGTCCCCCACGAGCGCCTAAGCCACCTCAGCCTAAGCCACCTCTAGTCAAGGCGAATACTTTCACAACGGTTCCAACCTATGGTGAATGAAGAACCTAAGGCGGATCCGGAAGTCGACTTCATTGTGAGAGCAGTGCGAGCTGCGCTACAGGAGAAAAAGAAAAAGTCGAAAGACATGGATCCGTTGGTGGATGAATTCTTCACCCTCGAATGATTTCCGAACATACGTTGTGAAACTGTTATTGTGACCTTGTTGTTAATGAAAGAAATCTGCGATGATGTGTTATCATACGTAAGCAGAAAAACCGTCCAAGTAGAGATGAAGGCAAAGGAAATGTGGTTGACAGAAGTCCGTGCGTGTCGTGCGCGGTCGCGCCATCGTCACGATTTTTCGAACGTCCTATACGTCTCTATGTCTCTATGTGGGTATAGCCTGCTGCATGACGAAAACGCAATAGCGTTGGGCGCGAACGCGGCTTTGTTAGCCGCAGAGCGCATGAGGCACAAGACTTACAACGGTGAGGATACGCGCGCGCCGCGTTTGCACCCGCTCAATTCAAACTGCTTCTGCGCTTTCGTCATGCATTAGCCTTTACGTATGTTTCGAATAGATAGAATTAATTCCATTTTTGAACCGATCTGGGCCAAACTTGGCACACATATACTTCGGAGCGGGGCGGGTGTCGTAGGCTACTTTTGTTTATAGATCGATGTCTATTTTATCGATTTCTAATGATTTTTTGTAGAGTTTAACCTGCTGGGCTGGGAGTTGGCACAGGGGGGGGGGTAATCGAGCATGCTGATTACGAATACAATATTAGTTTCCAGAATTATCAAATACTTTTGTCGATTTCATCAATTTTTTGCAAAGTTTGGGCTACGGGACTGGGAGTGGGCACAGGGGGGATAGTCGAACATGGATTACGAATACAATATTCGTTTTTGAAATTATTTGTTACTTTTATTGATACCGATCTTTTGCATTTCTGCAGCTGTATTCCTCTTTTTGAGGAGAACAACTCGGGTTTTTTTTTCGCCGAAGTGTATATATGTGGTGCCGGGTGGAGCCGGGTATGCCAGCTAGTTATATATAAGATGGATTTTAAGCTTCGAATTGATCGCTGAGAGTGGGTACAGAGAGGGGTGCGGTGGATGATTAGATAAACAGAGTGAAATAGGATAACATACAGTGCTGGACACAAATATAGGTCCACTCTAAAAAGTGCCAAAACTCACTCTGTTGCCAATAGAGTGTTCCAAAATTTGGCAAAGCCTTGTGTTTTACCAGCCTACTATCAGTCATCTAAATGGGTCTCGTTTTCGTTTGATTATTCAAGAAAAAATTGAAAATTTTGGAAAAGGCTTGAAGGCTGGACAAAATTATAGGTCCACTCTGGAGTTTTTACTGATTAAAGCACTTCTTCGCTCCTGAATTTTTTTTTAGGTAGGTACACATCTAAAAATATTGAACAACTGCTTCAGTCAAGCTATGTCATACCTCCAAGAACTGATTATCTGTTTTGCCTTGAGAATGCTTTCACAGGTATTTCGCTCCCAAACCTGCGTTGAGTAGAAAATTTTGCAGTTTCTCAGCTGGATCGGAAGGGACGGGGTTTTATCTACCTTCTGGATGCTTTTTGACATGAGCATCGAGGAAAAAGTTCGACTTTTTATTGCTGAAGCAAATCCGACATTGACAACACAATCCTAAGCTCAAATTTCTGCCTTCAAACTTCTTTTACAATGTTCTCAGAAGCATAAAGTAAAGGAAAGGCATCTAAAGGCATTGTTTCTACGAAGGGGAGTCCGTATTCCATGGTTACGACTTTTTAGAGATTCTAGCATTCGGGTATAATTACTGAAATCACCCTGCAGAAACTGATTACGACAAGCACCAAAGCTATTTGTGGTTCCGACCAAAATTCTCAGAAGAATCATGTGCTAACATACACTACAAGCTGTATCCATTATCTAGTAAATAATTACTATAAAAATCTAAGTGAGGTAGCAATTGGCAAGCTATTTTGGATCTGCGTAACACCATCATTACGTTGCACACACAACTCAAGTTTCGAAAAAGAAGCAAGGCAGCTTTGTGGACACCTGCGAGTATGGCGAACAGCTTTATACTTGTGCAAAGAATGCTTCTACAATATCTTAAGAATATAATGACAATGCGTAAAGGGTTTTAGGGCAGAAACTGAGGCTTACTTTCCCAATTGAGTCGATGTCGGATTTGTTTCAGCAGCAAATAATCGGGTTTTTTCCCTAATGCTCACGTCAAAAAGCATCCTGAAAGTAGATGAAATCTTGTCGCTTCCGATCTAGCTGAGAAACTGCAGAATTTTTTACTCAACGCAGGTTTGTGGAGCGAAATACATGTGAAAGCATTTTCAAGGCAAAAAAGCAGATAATCAGTTCTTTTTGGAGGTATGACACAGCTTGACCAAAGCAGCTGTTTAACTTTTTTAGATGTGTGCCTACCTTAAAAAAATTCGGGAACTAAGAAGGCTTTAATCAGTAAAAACTCCAGGTGGACCTATAATTTTGTCCAGCCTTCAAGCCTGCTTTTTTCAAAATTTTCAATTTTTTCTTGAATAACCAAACGAAAACGAGGCCCATTTTGATGGCTGATAGCAGGCTGGTAAAATACAAAGTTTTGCCAAATTTTGGAACATTTTATTGACAACAGAGTGAGTTATGGCACTTTTTAGAGTGGGCCTATAATTTTGTCCAACACTGTATGGAAGACAGAGACAATCATTGTAGCGTAAGGCCTCGGGCAGACTTCACATTTGATCGTCGCGACTGAATCGCGACGAGACAACTGTTACAACATCATTTCATGCTGATCAACTTGCATTTCGGTTGTGATACTTTTCCAGCCCGAAATTTTTGAATGTGTAATAAAAATGAATGGAAATATTGACGATTAAGTCGCGACGATCAAATCGCGTGAAGTGTCTGTCCGGGGCCTAAAAGGGTATGGCGATTTTTCTATCATCGTGATCAGGCCGCGTGGACGTGTGCTTTCAAATTAATTAATTATTTAAATCCATCTTCCATAAAGACGGCACTCCTTTGTCACTTCCTCAGAACGGTTAGTTATCTCCTAGAAACCATCAAGCAAGGAAGGGACGGGGAAGAAACCGTGGTTGGTCTAGCACGTCCTCCTACGAGAAATACAAGCAACTGCGCTAATTGGCACAAAAAATGGATCCTATCAGCGAAGATGACCTATTGCCTAACTGAAGCCATAAATGGAATCATCGGGATGTGTTCATTTAGGTAGCCATAATGAGTGAATACCTGTCTGAAAAAAACGCAACTCTGAATAGAATTCTACAGTAAAAATTTCGAATTTGACCATACCATTGAACAATTTTCACATCGCGAAGCGCCAGTCGGAGAAGGCCAAAAAGAGCGTTGCACTACAGAGAATTCCTCCTACCCTGAGGTAATCAAATTTTTATTGAACGTTTGAATTGACAATCAAGAATAAGCGAAGGTTGCTCAAGGTGAAAACGATGTTTTGTCAATAAGCTCACTCTGCGTTGGCTTTTTGAAGACTTGCCTATGCATGGTAATTGAGGTTTGAAAACGGCGTAAACTTTTGCATCGATGTTATAAGGAAGACTGAATTTTTCCTGCTTTTCCTACTGTATGGTAGCTAAAAAGTGAGTGCTAGATATCAAAGCCCAAATATTGCATGTGAAGGAAGTGGCTTAGCGCTCAAAATTTTTTTCTGAGCGATTAAACTTGCCTGATCGTGTTCGGGTTGGAATTGCAATGCTATAAAGTAGACGATCTGGCCACTTATCACCTATTTGAGGAGGCAAATGTAGAGTCGGGACTAGGAAATTCAATTCAAAAGTTAGGATGTTTGGCCTATAGCAATTAGGAAGCGCTTATAGACTTTCTACTTGGCGTTAGAATGCCCACAACGCACACTCATTCACAGGTCGTGCAACAATTGGATTTCTTCGTCCTCGGCATATCACATATCCGTGAAATGTTTTGGGTACCCATTTGGCATTTTCGGTCTCTATAGCGCACTTTCGAGATCAACGCGAAGCAAAGGTATTTGAAAAACATTGTTTCCGAGGTAGGGTTCTAAATTGGTAACTCGATTGTCAAGTCACTCAAGTCTGTCTCCATTGGGATCAGGTGCAAGAGTTGGCTAAATATGCGCGCTCGCGAGTTTTTGTTTTGGCTGCGTACGGCTTTCGGAAAGAGGAAGGGTTTGATAGCAGACAGGCTAGCGGAAGACGTGACGCAAAACGCCCTCACGATACGGACTCCCGCCATGGCAATTTCGGCCATTTTAGATTGCGATTAAATGTACCTTTCAGCGGGACCTGCACCGTTCTTCGCGCATAAGGCAGTGTAAAACAATAGGAATTTCTGTAGAGTGACCTTGAAGGCTAGTATTTTGGTTGCTGGGCCTCTTAAAGGCAGTGTCCGGGCAAAAACTCAAATTTGAGGTTTTGTGCTTATACGGGTTCGCCATATTGATTCCGAAAATCCACACTAGAAAGCGTGAAAACGGCAAAGAAGGGCTCTAGCGCAAAAGGGAAACAGCAGGTGGGCGTTGTCCTCCCCCATTGTGCATGCACGCTCCCAGCTTCCGGAGCAGTCTTCTCGATTCCGCTAGCCGTCCCAACATCGCTATCAGCTAAGTGCGAATGATTGACTTGAAACATGAAGCGAGAAAATCTTTCCGGAAGCTGGGAGCGTGAATTTTTAGTGGGGAGGACCCCGCCCACCTGCTGATTTCCCTCCTGTGTCAGACTCTTTTCGCCCTTTTCGCGCTCTCCAATGTGCATTTTCGGATTCAGCGTAGCGAATAGGCCCGGGTGAGCGCAAAATCTCAAAATCGAGTTTTTGCCCGGACACTGCCTTCAAACCATAGCGCTTTTGTATATTATGGTTCGCTTCTACACGATTCTCCAAGTAGAGAAGATTTACTTTTTTGCAAAACAAATAAACTACTCTCTTTCTCACCCATGTTTGGTTTGAATACTGCGTGCTGTTTGTGATCCGTGACCAAGATTGTTACAATACTTTATCGGCTAACGTCTCGGCAAATC